CTAGCTTGTGTTTCCTTGAGCGCAGGCTGGGATCAGTTTTGTGCTGTTTTGCAATTTTTACAGACTTTCTCAAAATGGTCTTGTTTACCACATTTTGAGCATTTATGTCCCTTTGCTGGACACGGCTGGTTCATGTGGAGATACGATCCGCCACAGTAAAAACGTGCGCGTGCGTGTTTTTGGCTTTGCGCCATGTCGGATAGACTTCTCAAAGCTGTACTTTTGCTTGACAACTTTATTGACAGCTGTCTGTGAACAAAGCACAACAAAGCAGTAAGAGCAGGTCCAGAACGCTGTAGCCACACAGCTATCTGAAGTTTAAATTTTTGTCAGGAGAATGACGACTCAACTCAAACGAACTGAGTCACAAGAGGGTAGAGCCCCTTTTGAGTAACAAAACGTTTTACCAAGTAACTGGTATTCAACCTGTTAGTATTGATCATGTCAAACTAAGTCATCTATCCAAGAAAAGAGCCATTCTGATGCCGTTTAATTTTTTATAGTTCAGCAAGATTTTTTTTAGAAATGCTTCTAACAGAGTGAGGAAAATTGGACAAAATTTGTTTAGAGGTAGCCCAATGCACTTATCAACAGGAAGGAGAGGAAGACTGGGAAATTATTGTGTGTGTTTTTTTCTTCCTTTTTTTGTGTGTTAAATATGAGTATTTTATGCAGAGTAGTTGGCAGTGTCGCGGCGTACTGCCGTCCTGCTTCAAGATACAGACGTTCATGTCACTTATGAATCTCTCGGTATTTTTTTCTCTTCATGAATGTTTGCGTGGTGTTGCACTACGCATGCCTGTTAGCCCTGGGGTCTCCTTTGCAAGAATAACCGGGGGAATCATATAAATCCTTCTCAAATTTACTGCACTTCACGGCGAGAGTATTTCCTCTCAAGGCGAAATAATTCACACTCTGACACGTGAGAGTTCGACGATTATCGGCCTCGCTGAGCAGTTCCGAGCTGAAATCGATCACATCTGAACACATCGGCAAGACTGTCGACCAGAGGAATCACAAGTTAGTGGCACAGCGACAAACGAAGCGCAACACTCAACCCTAGGCTATACTATTGTATTGCTCAATCTCTTTAAAAAAACAGTGTAGTTGCCTCTGGTCTGTGGACTATGCTTGTAAGGGGGATGCAGCTAGCAAAGGCCGTCCTGCTCTGGGTGGCATGATTACGACAGCGTATCGAGTCCTGTGTCGATCTCTAGTGAGTTGCTGGAGACATGTATAATGAGCGCCCTGGTATAGATACCGCCTGTTGCAGGGTAATACACCAAGAGTACGGGCAGCGTGTAGTGTGAGGTTGTGGTCGTGTAAAGTATCCCTGTTCTGTTCAAGAAAAACCAGACTTCTAAATTTCAAATCACCTTAGTACCTGCACACATGGTTTAGTCGATTTCCCCTTTGTCTCTGTTTAAAGGAGGTATAAATTTGGGTCCAAGCAAACGTCATTAAAGAGTATAAAAAGGCAACTATTTTCAACCGAAACATATCCTGCCAAAATGCTTTGCTTTTAAGAGCAACTTCAAGTTATGAGGGGCGTACAGGAGGTTTCAGAGAAATGTTATCTCTAGGCTTTTGCTTGTACACAAATTTTGAGATATCCAATCCATACGGTGACTTTTGACGGGGAGTTACTGCGGCATACACTCTGGCACACATAGAGACACAAATGGAAGGAAATCGGCAAAGGGGGGAAGAAACGGGGGAGAGTTGACTGCCAAATCCCCAAAGGAAACATTATCGCAACTGCAGAGCAACGGACACAATTAGAGACTCGCTGAGCGGGCTGCATCTTAGGTGTCCTCCATCAGTGGAATTGGTTCATCTTTCAACGTTCTCGCGTCGGCCGGGGAATTATGAGCGCACATTAACCTACATGTTCGGCGTGTCGGGGGGGGGAAATGAAACACCGGCCGTGCCTTCAATTTTCCCCCTATTTGACAACGAGTGGACCGAGTCTTGTTTAGGTGCGACGTTTCCGATGCAGTGGAGGTGAAAATTGAGAAATCAAGACCGGCTCGGGGCACTCGAACGAAACTGGTTGAAGTTGGTCCCCGAGGAAGTAGTCTTTTAACAGAAGTCCCTCAACTGCAGTTGAGATTGTGTGAAAAGGGACACCTTCAGATTAGAATCTGGAGGGAAAAAATTATACTGTGAACCAAGGCAAAAGGGGACCGGTGTCTGTATGAAAATAGCAAATTAGATATTCGGTTGAGGAAGAAGCAGCAATATTTTATCATAAGGACTAGGCCTATTTTACCGCACAGTGCGACATCTCGACAACTCAAACGTCTTGAAACACCATACAATTCCATGTGTTTTTGGAAGTTATTCCCCAGGAGCTAAGAAATGACGGTCTTCGTTCTTTTATTGGAAACTGTCACTTTGTAACAACTCTATTCGGGGGTGTTTAAAATCTGGTGCTCGTCTTTCAATCCTTCAACAGTGGCAGGGGTTCCAATCCACCTTAAACCTCACTGGTTTTTTTCCAGAACCCCAAGAAACCCGCTTCTCTGAAAAGATTTTCTTGTGCAGCACTTGACAAACTAAATGTTTATATATACAATTTTGATTTTGACAAGATATTTCGAGCGTGACGCTGCTTTTCAGTGGTGCCCTGACCTGTTTGACAAGAGACAAAATACACAAGTGGAGAATGGACTATAGAATATTGTAAAATATAATAAATACGGTGGAGTAAAGTCAAAATGAAATGGAATTTGTTGCACATTCCAACCCAACAACTGTTTTAGACGAAAATAATATTTCTGTCTGATAAGTATTCAGGAACTACATTATGTGTGAGTTATATTTCATTGAGGAAACAGTCATACCTGTTTGAAAATAATGTCATATTTGCTCGATATCGGCTGCGCTCACGTAGTGTGCAACGCCAATGAATAATGTGCTTGTTTAGGAATAAATGCCAGGAACTTGTGAAGTAGAGACGATGGGGCATCCTCAGCCACTCACTGTGCGACGTATAGTGCTGGCTCTCTGTGAACTGAAAAATAAATGGATGACCTTGGTTGTACTTTCGAAAATGTTAATTAGGCCGTATGGGCTATTTGTATCAGTCTATTACGTACACGTTACAGGCATGCACAAAATACTAATGCGACAGTTTTTCTGTGTTCGATTATTCAGACATTCATCTGTGGACTGTGCTGTGGGCAGAGGTCCTTTGATTTTTGTTTTCTGTCTCTCTTGTGAGTTGAAGAAGCCTGAGGCACTCTTTTTTCTTCTATACTCGATAGCTCTGAGGTCAGACCGAGACGAGAATAGCACATCACTGCAGCAAAACAATCATGTTGACAATCTTTCTTTGCGCCGTCCAACAGGATCACCAAGTCTTAAACTAAGCGGCTTATACAAATGTCTGCATTTGGGATGGTCTTGTTGGCGTCATTTCATTCGGAATATCAAATATTCCTTCAAAAAATAAGCAAAACAAATAACTCGCCCCACAAAACAAATTTTGAAGATTTATGGAAATGGGGTGCCAAATGCCTTAACATTCCTTTCGCCCAGCGGCTTTGGGATTGTTGTTTACGCGTTGACCTCATCCGATGCAACCCGGTAACGCGATCCGCGGCCATCTGCAGGAAAGAAATAACGCAAAGTTCCGTCACTTGTTCGATTTCCGCACGTCTGCTGTATGCCCCCTTGGGGTGAAATAAACGCTCGCGTGCTACCGCAAACTTAACAGCAAATCGTAGAGACGCCAGTCAGTGGCTGGACCGGGTCCCTCTTGCCTCATCTCTAGGAATGGGGAAATTTCTGCAACACTTCCATGTATATCCCCGGCCACTTGTCGTTTTGTCTGATAGTGTGGGTAATGACCCAGTCACTGTCTGACCGGCGACAAAGCGTTCCTATGGTTACTTTGGTAACCAATTTGATACCAATTTCGAAATTTAGAAGCTCGATGTAGCCCTACGAACTTTCTCAGTCAGTAGTTTCTATTATTGTCAAGTGTTCTCTTGCTACTTTATCCTGAAGTCCAGACGTCCTTTGGGCCTAGTTACAGTTCAGAAGCTATGCATTAAAAAAACTCTGCAATTTACACGCAAAAGTGTCTGAGGCTCGTAAACTATACCAGTCCAAATGTAAATGTGAGAAGAGTCGGGTAACCGATAACCAAAGCTATACCGAGTAAGGACAAAATGCGGACAGTGATTATTAAATCGTGTGTTTCAACAAGAAGAAGCATTCCCTCTGTCTGTGCACGGATAACGCGTGCTCAACTCTCGGTGGTAGCTTAAGTGCGCTTAATCTCAGCGGATTCGTTTGAAAAAGGTACCTTTCAATGTTGAACCACTTAAAAGTAGTTGAACTGGACTTTCAAGAATTTCTTTTTCGTAATGAGAAGGTAAACTTTGGGTAAATCCAGCACGGGTCATTTACAGCTTTCCTCGTCAACTGGCGTCACTGCCTGACCTATAACCACTTCAGCCCCTCCAGCGTCACCGATATGCAATGCGAGGCGATTAACCCGTTCCTATCACCCCCCCCGCTCGAAAAATATTGGCCGAGTGATGCCGTGGCGCTGCGAACTATCCTCGCGTGTGGATTACGGCTGGGAGGCAATATTACTCAGGTCCAAGACTGGCGTTCGAGCTGAGATGGATCGATAAAAATCCAAGGACTGGCTAGAGCGGGTCAGGTGACAAGAGTCTGCCAAGCGATGAGCTGCAGCACCACAAGCCTATACTGCCAAACCACTTAGCACGCGTCCCGTCAGCTCATGATTTTATGAATATTGAGGTCTTCACGAGCGACAGCCGGGCTGTTTATTTTACTTTTCAACTTTTTTGTCGGGGGCGATAAATGGTTGCCTTGGTTATGAACACCGGCCGCAAAGGTATACGGAAAAAACAAACAAGCTGTGTCTGCTTAGTAGGGCAAATACGGCCGTGGCGTATCGTTTAACCGTCTAATGTTCAGCCTTTATATCGCACGTTTTTTTAATTTCCTCTTTGGTGCAGGTGCTGAATTACAATCCAGAGAGGTGCTGTCACGATGACCACAGAGTCAACGGATTCAAGAACACAGATGTTAACCAGTATATATACCGTTGAGGTTACCGACATGTTCGCATTCTACGACAACGACACGGTGGGGGAGCCCGACCCGAACAAGAACTCCTGGCTCCCCATGGAGTTCCAGATCACCGCGCTGTGGTTCGTGTTCGCCGTCAGTGTTGTTGGCAATCTGCTTGTGTTCCAGTGGATGAGGTTCAACTGGCATCGCAAGTCCCGGGTGAACACGATTGTGTTGGGCATCGCAAGCGCTGACCTGTCCGTCAGCCTGTTCGCCATCATGCCCACTGCCGTCATAGAAAGTTCCGGTCCGTGGACAGCTGGGAACGCCACGTGCAAGATTGTCATGTACATCCAGGGTGCCGCCTTGATCAGCAGCGGCAACATGATCGCCATCATGGCAATCGACCGCCACCAGGCTGTCCGGAGCCCCCTCAGTGCTTTCATTCCCGCCTGGAAACTTGTTCTTGGGGCCTGGGCAGCTGCTTGCGTGCTGGCTGTGCCGCAGTTCTTCATCTGGCTCGTCAAGGAAAGAAGTGGACGACTGGTCTGCGGTACCATTCTTTCAAAGGACCAACCTGGTTTGCGAATGGCGTATCTCACCTACGTCGCCTTTATTACCTTCTTGGTACCGTTTGGGATCATCAGCGTGGCTTACGTGCGGCTATGCAAGACAATCTGGGAGAAATCCCGGGAGTGTTCGGGCAAGCAGCGGCACGGCCAGATTGAGCTGCGGCGTGTCCCCACGGGAACGCTGACCAAAGCCAAGAAGAAGACACTCAAGATGACTATCGTCATCATCGCGGTGTTTGTCCTGTGCGGTTCCCCGTACTTCATTGTGGAGATGTTGAGGACTTATCGTGCGGAGCTGCTCAGCCCCGGTGTCTACAACCTCTTCAGCATCTTCGCCGTGACCAATTCGGCCCTCAACCCTTTCGTGTTCCTCTTCTTTAATGTCACCACTCGGTTCTGGAAGGACATGTTCCCCTGCGTCTCCAAAAGCAGTCCTGAGGCAACGTACAACAGGTACTCCGTGAAGTTCTCCTCGTCCAATTCCCGCCAGCACTCCAAGTCTTACGGTGATCCCCACACGCGCGCCACCGACCTGGAATCGGGCGTGACAATCAACTGTACCGACTAAACTAAAGACTGCGCTGTTGGAGGAGGAAGGAGGTCATCGAAAGTGGACGTCGGAGGGGGGAGGGGAAGACTACCCAAAACAAAATTGCGCCCTCCCCTCTGACCAGGTCACCATTATCTCTACAATCAGCACTGTCGAACTCCGACTCCGAGATCGGAGGTGTTAAGATTAGGGCTGGTCTATAGTCAGCCGTATAAGATATGATTTTGTTAATTACGGTTATGGCACCTGCCTGGGTGGTTGGCAGTTACGATGGCTTTGATCTTAATCGAGGTCGAACTCATCGACTGATGGATTGGGGAACTCCGTGAAAGCAGTTGTGGATTCACAGACTGTTGCTCTCCAATCAATTAAGTATCCTTTGCTTATCGACAAGAGCTGTGGCGACGTCAAGACACATTATCGGCAATAGCTTTCTCAAAGGCAGCTTTGAACTTTTTTGGAAACAGTGCATCCACTGTAATCTGTATTTGTAAATATTGTAATTTATGGAGTACCTTTATCGTCTCCATTCTCTTAATTTGCTCATATCAAAAAGCGCATTCAGATAACAATGAGCCACTATACAGTACTGAATAACTGTTTTCAAATAATGCACTGTAAGGGCTATGTAAGTTTTGATTTGTCCCAAGCTCTTTTAACTGTCGAAACCCCCATGTTTTCCTCACAAAGGACGCATACCTTTTAAGCTTACAGGATTTCGTTCAGAGATTTCGATGCTTAAAGGTTCGTTTCCTGACAAGATAAATACGACGTAAAGGTAATCGTCTTGAAAAGGCCAAAAATTTCTATACATCATTAGATTATTTATTAGCTAGCGTTTGTTTGTCTAGCATGAGAAGCGCTTATTTTTCACGGTAAATACGCCCTAACGTATACCAGCATAACGTTATAATCAAACCTCATGCAGAGCAGACACAATGCCCATTGTTCTGAACGAGCACACGTTTTGCCATGTGTTTTTTTTTGTGCGCGACCATTTTTAATTGTTTTGCTCGTGGCTGCAAGTGTATACAGATGAAATGCGCGGTTGATATTTCGTGTAGAAGGTTTCCCAATTGAAGAAAAACACAACTTTCAAATTATGGAAAGATTTGTGCAGACAAGCATGCACGATGATGGCCGCCGATTCTTGTGGAGCACAAGATCCCGTTACTATACCAACGACTGGCCATGACTACGATTGCGTAATAACATCAGTTGCGTGCACCACTGTATACACGTATATAGCAAGTATGTTGTAAATAGGATGATCATTGTATACCGTATATCTGTCAAAGAAAAGTAATGCGAACAACATTTCAAAATGGCCGTATTTTTAAACACTGCGAAATGCCTTATAATCGTCTCCAGTCGTTTATACACCAATATTTATATTGTTCCATTTTTCATTGTAAGATACCTCATTGTAAAAATGTCAAAAATTATGTGGACTTCAGACGTACTCCCTAGAAGCTGAAACCTGCCTTGTATGCGCTACCCACGTATTTCCACGAATAATCCAGAATAAGGTACGTGTTAAAAAAAGTGAACGGAACCTGTTTTAACTCTCAATGTAAATAAGTAGTGTAGGTTTACTTGTGAAGAACTTTGGAACCCAATTTAGTGTCTCCTGCGATGTATCCAGTATTTCAACACCCCTCCGCCTCTTCTGCTCTACTCCAACTACTACGTGATGGGTTCAGGTGGACTGTGATGTCAGAGCTTATCTGGTGTAACAAAGGACTAGTGGGGTGATATTCAGGTACCGAGAGAACTATACGAGCGTGCGTTGAGTGAGGTAGAGGTCTTTGTCGAATACACAGGCGCAAAATGTTACAAAGGTATAATCCATTTTGAAAGCCATGCATAGTTTATTTCACAGCAAAGAAATAAACAAAACAATGACAAACTGTACAAGAAGAATCTATTGTATGGAAACAACACAACATGAGGTACTGTCAACACAGAAGTGACGGACGGACGGAGCCCGTCGTCTTAAGTCCTTTTTCCCCCGTGATATCGCCGTCGAAATCGGAATCTTTTCTGTAGCATTTAGGATGATGTCTTACGCAACATTTCACGCCTGGGTGATCTGTGCACGGGACACACGGTTGTCGGGGGTGTCAATTTATTGTCGCACAGTCCCGTGGTTGTCCTCTCAAATTTTTCATTGACCGTATTTGTTAACACACCACCGTCTATTTGAAATATCAGTAGCCTATGTGTTAAGTATAAAAATGCTTTGTGTGATTCGGCAACACCATTACAGTTTCGTCAACACCTTCACAGTGCGTGGATGACTCCATGTTAATGAAAACCGTGGCGAACTCCGTTGTAACTTGTCCTTGAGAGGCCGATACATAATGGGAGAGAAATTGCCTTCAGCCCATTCTCTTGGGAAGGCTGGGCGAAAGTGTATCTATATGTCAGGTATGATACTCCAAAAGTGTCACATATGTTCACGTTCCGTGCATAATGCAGGAAAAGATACACTCGCGATGCAAAATGCTTCAGATATACAAATTCTGCAGTAGGCCTATATCCCGCATCACGAGCATAACGTTAACGGTCAGCTCGTTTACAACAGTTTGAGCTTCTCCTGACAAGATGCACGATGATTTACATCTTCGCGATAACCCAATTTGTCCCTCAGGGTATTCGCTGACTAATTTCGATCCTCTGAATAAATTTTACATGCACCACCATCTGAGTACTTTATACTTCATTACAATTTCCAATAATTCCCTCAACAAGCACCTGTACTGAGCAACGACTTCTGAGCGATATTACCTATTCCAAACCTTTTTGGACTCATTTAATTAAATACATGTGCCCTTTTATTGAACGAGAATCGCTGTTAATTTTATCTGGTTTATCTGTCTTTAAAAGGGTTCATTTTGCTGTGCGTTCGGTTCAATAAAATATAGAAAATATCAAACCAAACCTTAGTCTTATATATATATCTGAGCTGGGTTAGTGGATTAAATTAACAAAACTGAAACGCAGAGAATACTCAATCTAGGCCATGGCCAGCTCATCTAAGAAATCAAAGGATATGCAACCCCTCCCCATAAAATTCAATTAAATGCAATGCAAACATTCCTTAACTAAATCAAAACAAACAAAACAGTTCACCGAATGGGCCAGAGTATGAAACCACTCCAAGTCAATTTAAACCGATGTACAAAAAGAGAGACCAATTCAAACCAAAATTACAGTGGAAGGACAGCCTGCGACGGGCAAACCTGGTGGAAAGGGAACGAATTCACTGGACTAATTCTGAATAACTGTAAGACTTGTCGAACAAAATATAACAAACCGCAAACAAGCATACCATAAATTGGAGGAAGCATGATTAATCCCAATATGATCTCTTCAGTCTGAGATTATAAAGTAAAACCAAACCCTTCTTATTTGTACCAACTGTCCAATACGGATCCTAATCAACACACGCAAAAAAAAAAAGAACAACAACCAAAAAAAAAAAAGAAACCAGTTTCACAAGACAAGAGAAATGTATTCATTTCGTCGCCAGTGCCGAGCTTGCTCTCTAAGGTCATTTGGGAAAGGATTATGTGCATTGATTACCAGAGTGGAAACCAGGAGAAATAGTTCAGTCTCCCTACGAATGCAAGTGAAAGACAATATGAACAGAGTGAATAAACAAGACTGTGAGAAAAGTCGGTCCAGATATGTAAGAATCGAGGGAAGTGAAAGTGCGCCAAATTTTAACTGAAACTGCAGGATGCTCTGATGCACTTAATTAACCACGCGTCCTTTTCCCGTTTAGCGAATCCGACGATGCGGTCCTTTACTCAAACAACACTGAAGGGCAGTTTTCACGTCCGAGTGTCCCCTTTCGCCATTTGATTAAACACACTGAACCCTAATTGGACTGAAAAGCTCCGACGCCCGTCTTTGCACTTTCTTGCGGCTCGCAGAGTCTTACAGTTCCTTGAGCGTTTCCCAAAGTGGTAATATGTTGACGTTGTGATGAGGAGGATGTTGTTTGAGAGAATTCGAGAGAGAGAGAGAGAAGAGACGCGTGATGCAAGGAAGTTCAAGGAACCTTCCACTGCATTTAGTACGTATGAAAAAGTAGCGATTCTGCATTTATATAACCTATAAAGTTACAGGTGATGCAATTACATTGAGTAAAAGTAGATGTGTAGGGTAGCGTTTTTGTATCCAGAACTTGTTTGGGCGATATATTTAGTGGCTCAGAAATTCTCAGGGGCCAATTTACACACACGAGCGGCATAACAGCAAGCGTTAACGAAAGGAGATATGTCGCGAAGTATTGTACAACTGAAAACAAGGCAGAAAAAGCCACTTTTTTCTCTTCTCCGCGTGCTCAAATACAACGGTTTATCGCCATATCTTGCGATTTATCAGGTCTCGTACGTGTCAATAGGCCCTTAAGTTTTAACTGTAAACGCCACTTTCCCTCTTTGTGGCACCGGGATACACCGACGCAGTTTCAGTCTCCCTGCAGGCCAATCTATCTGAGACATGTTTATTTCTGACCCATTTTTTTTTATCCTGTCAGACAATTTTCAGAGTGACTTACAGCCTTTTGTACCTCAGATTTCTTTCTTAAATCCAGAGCACTGACCGCGGCTTTTATGAAATCGAGATTTGCAGTCGGTAGCAGATGTATGTCATTAGGAGCTATCGTGCAGGGTGAATGCCTCGCGGTCTCTGTAAATTGAATGAATTATATCAGTGTCTTTGATTTCACAGACTACGGGGTTCCATGGTTTTCCCTTTGATTTTTTTATCTGCAATGAAATTATGAAAAATGTCATATACTGGCAACAGACGTACATCAAAGGTAGGAAAAATGATACCGCAAAAGGTCAGGTAAAATTTATTCCTGTCGATTTGAGTCTCTGACTCGTTTTGAGCTGCAGTTTCTTCCGGAAAGGTCACAAATTCCCGCAAACTGGTACATTCGTGGTTATGAACCATCGAATTATCGGTGCAAGTTTGTATAAATTGAAAATAATGAACACGGTACCTTTCTCTGAACAGTTTTGCTGCTAAACCATAGGCGGTATCTGTGATTCACACCCATGCAAAAGGAGTAAACTTTGTTAAGCATTGGCTGCAATGGTATCGATTACCAATAATCGGATTGACAAGTTGTGTACTTGGTGTACATCTCTCTCGCCAACTCAATCCGATGCACAAGCTGTTTTGCATTTTCAAGAGAGACAAACATATCATGCCTGCTGGCGTGAACCTTGATGCCGTGAAGTCTAGTCTGTCTGTAAAATATGGAAAAGACAGTTAGTTTACACTGCTCTTTTTCGTCATTGAGGAAATGCTGTTTTGAAGCTATATTCTATTTGCTTTATATGCTCTTTTAAAACGCAACTTAAAATCCCAAAGAAAAAACATGTTGTAATAAGAAATGATATTTTTAACGCGTATGTAATCACTAGTTATTATAAAGATGTAAATTACATGACGACATTAAGGCATGAAAGGAACGTTCTAAAATAAGACTGGTGCCCTGTATTCCACGCGATGTAAAACTACTCTCTCTGAACTGTATAAAGCCACTGTGTTAATTTATTATCAAGTGTATTATATATGATATGACGTGAACTATTTTGATATCAGAATAGGTCTCAGCCCAACTTCTGAGCATTTTGTCATCAGTCTCGTGTATGTAAGTCTATAAAGTGTTTCGAAACTAATTTCTAACCTTTAGCAAATTTTTGCCTGGAAAGTTTCTCGTTGATTGTGTGCACTCTACGTCACGTCACCTACGATCCTTTATACAGTCTGCCATAGCACATTGGAGGCTGCCATTGTCGTTTGTGTGACAAGCCGCAGCCAAGAGTTGAGGACACGGCATGACGCCAAAGATGGCGGGTCGAAGAGATTGGAGGAAAAAATGTATAACGCCTTCTGTAAACGATCTTGGTGTATGCTGGAATGCCCCGTAGCTATTTTGAAAGGTTAATTAATTACTGTGACAAAACATCATACAGATCTGTAGATCCTCTGTGTCGCTGATATTTTGTGAATGTACATAAATGGTAGCAACGTGAATAAATGAACCAGAGCTCACCGAAGCATCAGTTGGCCACCTAGTGAAGTCCATTTGAAGGCAATCTCTTTTATTAAAAAAAAAAAAAGATTTTGGTTATAAAATTCGCTGCATAGAAAGAAATTATTTCAAAGAGCAGTGTGTTCGTTAATTTAAAAAGAGAGAAAAAAACACCACTCTGGTAACTGGGATTAGCACCCAATCCACTCGGAGCGTGGACAGGAGAGGGCGTATTTTTTACATAGCAACTGCGATTCTTTGGCGGGAACTACTCACTGCGTCGGGCAAGTTCGAGTAACGACTATATATACTTGACTACAGTTTGACTTACACCGCTATCTATTGGACCATTTTGGACCAGGCTCAACTGTATGGTCGCACCGCATTTTAACGATAGGTGATTTCATTTATTATCACAGAGGAAACCATGCACAAGAAAATAACTGTAAGAGATTTCAGTGACCATGTGCGCTACGATAATCACAACCAATGGTGAAATGTAAGTAACAACGAGATTTTAATTAAAATATAGGCCAACTAGGGTCGTTCAAATGTAACTGAATTGCGCATGCACATTGTTAAAAAGCACTGATTGCTGGTCGACCTATAATTCGAGCCCAAACTTGTCCGTATGTCGGTGCAAGGTTTATCTACGTAATAGGCGCCAGACGAACCGAGCACGGGGGATCTCTCGTGTTGACGGTAAGAGTTCAAGGTGTGCATCTTCAGAAGGTCTTTCCAAGCGAGAAATCTGGATCCAAGTTATTTGTAGATGTCAGTGGAGTAACTGTTCATTATTGATCGATGTGAAATGAGAGCAAAATACGCGCGCAACATTTCCCTGCATCAGCGAGTATCAAGAGTTACATGCGCGAACGCAGCCATAGATATTGGTTTGAATATCTGGTCTCCCTTCATGCGCCAGGCGTGTGCAAGGATCCAGTTGGAGAAAAAAAACTTGTCAATTAGCGTGGGTGTGCACTTCAACACGGATCAGATCGCAAACATAAAATACCATAGACCGACAGCGCCTACAAGAATCAGTGTCAAATCCCTTTAATTTTGACAGCGCCAAACTAAACGTGAAATTGTGGGTGGAAGCTGGTGAACAGTGTGAATGACGCTGTTGGACGATGTTTGGATCAGCAGAACATTTCGGATGATAACACAATGAATATGACTGATAATGCTTTGCTTCATGCTGCACAGCTATGTATTGTCTGTTTGTCAGACACGATGTTGCCCTAATTAACAATAAATCAGAACCATGAACACATTTCCACTGCGGGCCGGTTCATGTTCATGAAATACCGCAGAAAAAAAATTGCCCTGAAGTTTTGAGTTGTTTGACCGATTGGAGGCTTTCGTGACGAATAAGGGGCAACTTGCAGATCGATTTGAATTCAAAAGAAATATTCTTCAATTAAAACAGAAAGCTTACAAGAAGCTCATTATATTTAATATATAATTTAATAGATGTGAAAAGGCTATTTGGCCTTTCAGCTCCACAAGTCGAAAACTCGGAAGTTGGGATCAAAATCAAGCGGATGGTCTTTGGTGGTGCTGCTTCAAAAAACAAACAAACAAACACCCCAACACCCCAACAAAAAACAAACAAACAAACAAACAAACAAACAAACAATCAATCAAAACAAAAATAAAAAGCACAATAAACACGTAAGATGATTTTCACTTCGACGGGGAGATATATTTACATAAGGTTGAAGAATATCAGCAATAACATTCGAAGAAACCATTTTTCTATTGATAAAGATCCTCTTTATACTTGACTTGGTCCACGTTGATTCGCATCGGTGCGGTTGCAACATTTGAAACAAAAAGATGACACTTGACAGTATCGAAGTGTAAAAATGTTAACGTATTTTGAGAGCACCGAATATTCAAATCCAGCCAATGTGAGTTACGCGCAGTGCGCACTAAACGCGCCGCTATCCGTCGCTTTACCCATTGTTAGCCAATACTTTAAAAAAATCAAGATTTTATGAGCAAGACTGGCGGTAAAACGCCACCAGGCGCTTGAAAGTCTGCAATTACAGTCTTGCGCCGCTGTTGACGGTCTAGGGGTTTTATGCCTGTTGGGCGGATACTGCAGTTATATACAATTCTTGCGCAAGGGTAATGCGAGCGCGTTACATTTCTCTTCGAGCAATCCAGTTCGTCCTGGCATGACTTAGTCATACACGGGCACATGCACAACTGATTACAAGCTCCTATTGGACGAACACGCGTTAAATTCCGGTTCCATGGGTCCACAAAACACAGAGCGGTGCCATACCTTTTATGGGGAATGCATCGTTGATGCACGAAACATCTTTTCAAAAGGTCACTACAAGCGATTGGAATGTTGCTTGTTAGGTAACCGTTTTGTTTATTTCACCCAGGAGGAATGGACTTTTTTGGACGGGGGAGGGCGGGACTCGTTGCCCCACCTCCAGCAAAAGTTACACTGCGAATATTAATACTTCTGCCGCGTCCTTCACCAATTTTATCAAAAATTACACGAAAAGTCAAAGGGAAAACTCACACACCAACCGCCAACACACTGACTTATTTGCTAGCATATGTGTCTCTTACTGCAGGGGGCCCTCTGTCCTGAAGTGGGACGAAGATTACCTAGGCCTATCGGGATTTTTTTTTTACCCGGAATTACGGTACTTGGGAACAGGCTGAGAGTCATACTGACGACAAAATGTTGACGTCAATGAACAAATCATCCGACCTAATAAGTGCTGAGGGATTTTTTCATGTTCATTCGATCGTGATTTTCACTCCAGGTTCTGGATGGGCGGGATTGGCAAAAACCACAGGCGTCGTGAAAATTGTGAGGATCACAAACTAGTCTTGATCATTGCGAGTGCGATGTTAAAGGTGAACCGTGTGTTAGTTTTTGTTAACCTTTGTGGCAGTTACTTGGGGGAGTCGATGGAACTTGTTCTTATTGTCACGATCAGTTTTTTTTTTTACAGAATGACCAGCGTGAAATTGTAATCGAACTTAATAATGGGTTAGGTGTACGGAAGCGCATAGGGACCACTTACCCCCCAAAAAAATCCTCGAGTTACTATCTCGCCACGGCTAGATAGTATCTCGAAAAAAAGTTTTGCAAGTGGCCCTTATACGCTTCCGTATGGGTGGGATCAACAATGGAATAAATCACCGTTAATTTAAGGAAATTAGTTCACTTCGTCTTGCTGCTATGAGGTAAGTTATGGTCGCCTGACTGCCATGTCGTATTTCATATCAAAGACATACGGGAAAAATGATTTGCTGATTTAGCCCTGTGGGTACAAATTATAGATACAGAACACTGGACGAGTACCCATCACGACTGTCTCAGGTGACTGACGCTCTTCATAATCGCTGCCGCTGACATTGGCTCTTCATGTGTTACATACCTGCGGGGACATTCAGACTTGTATGTTGTAGATGATTAACTGGTTTCATTCTTTTGCTTCGTGCACGAGAGCGGCTCATAGGCGCAACTTGAGGTATAAGAGTGCCGCGTGCAAGCTGCAATCGGCGCCGATATATCATCTTGGGGCCCGGCGTATAATGATGACACGGCAGCGCGTGTACACATTCAGGGCGAGCGGCGGCAGAAAAATTAGCCGGCAGTGCCCCCCAAGGAAAAGATGACGGCAGATTTTCTGCGAGGCCCAGTCGCCCATGGGAAGGGAGCAAATTATGGCGCGGGGAGACCCGTTTGACTCACTCCGCGTCTCTTTGTGGTATGAGAGTAATGAAAGTCTTGAAAGCGGGGAGGAATTTTAATCCCACCTTCTTGGGCAATTTAGGAGAAATATGATGCATGTACAACGTCTATTTGCATTCATTCGTTGGCAGATGAAACTTCGCTTCTCCGCTACCGTCGAACATCAAATTTGAAAGATAGCACAGCGCAAAATGATGGTTTATTTTTCTTGCTGTAATGCAAATACCAAATACACAGTTCACAATTTCTCTCATATTAAATGTACGTTGGATCAAACATCGTGTAATGTTAGAGAAAGAAAATGAAATTATATTGGGAAAACTTACAAACCACTTTAATTTTTTGTAAATTTAGAGGACTACGAGATGTTTTGAGTTGCCTGGCATTTCAGTTATTATGTTGCAGAATTACTGTATCTACTTGCTCGTGCCAAAAACCTTCGTTATTCTCAAGAAACCATTCCTAATTCAAGGGAAGATACGTTTATAATTTTTAGTCAATGCCTTCGCAGTAAAAAGAGCCGCACCTGATCTTACATTACCGGAGCTCTGTCTTGTTTTGTTACCTTTACCGTGTTATATAAACACCTTAACACGTGTTGTGAATATTTGAAAACGTCACGTGTGTGAAAGTGTTCTCTGAAAAAGTTGTCTCGAATATCAAACGAAATTACCCAGAAACTTGTAGAATAAGATTAATTGAAAGGTCAAGTCAATGGCATTGTATGGAGAACCGTTAACTTGCCCGTATTAACCCCGTGTACTTTACGTGAAATCAAGGACGCCAAGTAATTTCCCGTAAACTTACTGATTGAGTTTCTTTACAGTGTTCATGGAAAGAAAAACGTGGTTTTGCATTATTTCGATGTACAAAAAAAATGTAGCTGTTAATTTTTTTTAATGATGCGTAGGTGTCATTAAGGTTTTCAATTATTCCAGGCATTGTCGGCCACCATTTTCTCTTCTCGAAACCGTGACTCCAGAGAAGGGACTCGACCAATTCCGTTGAAAGGCAACCGCCTTAAGGTACCCATCCTCCGAAGACAGCCAGACGGTCTCCAAAGGTCACGTCTGTCTAATCACAGGTTTCCGTTATTTAAAAAGGCAATATCGTAATGAACACGGACCGGCCAAGCCGACCGGAATAAAGGAGGTAGATCGGGAGAAGGAGGTTCATTCAGCTAACAGTAATGTGGCAAACCATTCAAAAATCATGCACGAAGCGGCGGGGTTTGCATCGTGACCCCTTTTTATCCCACTCCACAAATAGCTTCGTTAGCGTCCAGTGGATTT